GCAGATAACTTATCCAGCCCAACACTCATCCCAGGAAATTTAAGTTAGGAAAGAGGTAATGGGCCTGACAGTAGGAGAATTAGTGTGGGGCTCTGACAGCTGGGTCAGAAAGTCTGGACTGAATATAAACCATTGGAGTAACCACAGAATATTACATAGAGAAAGGGCATTTCTGAAATTGTGCTTGAGGACAATGTTTCTCTGTCTTGTTATAAGCTGGATTTTTGGTAAGCTCTCTCAGGATTCACATGCTTTCTCTTCTATAGGTTTTCTTGCTCATCTGTTTGTTCTGCCTGCTTCTACTGGAGTCATAAAACATGATTTTTTTAAATTTATTTTTTTCCTTAGTTAATTGTCAAGTTGGTTTACATATAACACCCAGTGCTTATCCCAACAAGTGCCCTCCTCCATGCCCATCACCCACCTTCCCCTCTCCCCCACCCCCATCAGCCCTCAGTTTCTTCTCAGTATTCAAGAGTCTCTCATGGTTTGCCTCCCTCCCTCTCCCCAACTATTTTTCTCCTTCTTCTTCCACTTCGTCCTCCGTTAACTTCCTCCTAATCTACCTATATGTGCAAACATATGGCATTTGTCCTTCTCTGCCTGACTTATTTCACTCAGCATAACACCCTCCAGTTCCATCCATGTTGCTACAAATGGCCAGATTTCACTCTTTCTCATTGCCATGTAGTATTCCATTGTATTAATATACCACATCTTCTTCCTTTTTTTAAGTATCTATTTTGGAAAGTATTTACTTAGTTTGAATAAATTAATTCCAAATAAAAATTAGCTACAATTTATAGCCTGAATAGAAATGACTAGAACAAATACAACACAGGACTTGATTTCCTTGCATTAGTCATAAAGCATGTGACTATGCATAAAACTTCAAAATCAATTATATTCCTTTGAAAAGGGGGTAACAGCAGTTACTGATACATCACAACTAGTAAACTTATAATACAAGTTTCCTGACATGCATTTCCTGAGTGAACCCAAATGATCATTTTTTAATATAAGGGAATTTTGACAAGATAAATTAAACTAAAAATAGTTCATGGCTTCTAAGCAACAGGGTTTTTTTTTTTTTTTAAACCAAAAGAAAATTCAGAACAGCATACTGATAGCTATGATAAATTAAAGCTATACTACCACATACAAAAATTTGCTAGAGTAAATTAAGTATTACACAACTTTCAAACTAAAGGAACACAAATCAGAAGGTTAAAAAAAAAAGATTCTGTCTAATCTAAAATTATACCACATCTTCTTGATCCATTCATCAGTTGATGGACACTTAGGCTTTTTCCATGTTTTGGCTATTGTTGAGAGTGCTGCTATGAACATTGGAGTACATGTGCCCCTATGCATCAGCACTCCTGTATCCCTTGGGTAAATTCCTAGCAGTGCTATTGCTGGGTCATAGGGGAGTTCTAGTATTAATTTTTTGAGGAACTTGCTACTGTCATCCAGAGGGGCTGCACCAGTTTACATTCCCACCAACAGTGTAGGAGGGTGCCCGTTTCTCCACATCCTCGCCAGCATCTAGAGTCTCCAGGTTTGTTCATTTTAGCCACTCTGACCGGTGTGAGGTGATATGTCAGTGTGGTTTTGATTTATATTTCCCTGATGATGAGGGATGCTGAGCATCGTTTCCTGTGTCTATTGGCCATCTGGATGTCCTCTTTAGAGAAGTGTCTATTCATGTCTTCTACCCATTTCTTCCCCAGATTATTTGTTTTTCAGGTGGAGCTCGATGAGTTTTACACGTTCAATGCAATCCCAGTCAAAATTGCACCAGCATTCTTCTCAAAACTAGAACAAGCTATTCTAAAATTTTTATGGAACCACAAAAGACCCTGAATAGCCAAAGTAATATTGAAGAAGAAAACCAAACGGGAGGCATCACCATCCCAAACTTTAGCCCTTACTACAAAGCTGTCATCATCAAGACAGTATGGTATTGGCACAAAAACAGACTCATAGACCAACGGAATAGAATAGAGAACTTAGAATTGGACCCACAAATGTATGGCCAACTAATCTTTGACAAAGCAGGGAAAAACATGATTTTTTAATTCCCAGATATTTTGTTCTTTGGGCTTCCTCTCTGGTATCTTCATATTTTGTCTAAAGGTCCACTGTCACTCATCTTCAGTAAAAGTGGGAAGAGCTTAAGGGCCACCCTGCACAACATAGCTGAGTGAAAAAGAAACTATCAAATTCATTACCCATCTCTGACCCTGCCATTCAGATGGTCGTCTTCTGGGATTCCTGCTCAGGGTCCATGGATGGACTTCAGAATAGTGATGACATTATTCTGAGGTGACCAACCTCAAAGAGGTGTGTGATTCAACAGAAGTGAACCACATTTGTCTTTGTTGGGAAGTAGGTAGGTGAGGACTGTTCCCTCAGAGAGAGAAACATGGTACAAGCATCCTTAGTGCCCACTAAGAAGTCTCTAGTGGAAGTTGAAGGAGCTGAAGAAGAAAGAGGAATTGGGTAAAGGGAAATGGGTTCAGAGGGAAATGATAGGAGGAGTGCCCCATCTTACCTTGTTCTCCACCCTCTTTATGGCAAGTATTACTTCTCTGTATTCTCTGTGTCCTGACAATTATAGGATTCCCATTCCCCTTCAGTTTAAGTCTGTTGAGTGCCTGCCATTTATCAGGCTCTGAACCAGGTCGTCTCACGACATCAGTTCATTCAATTCCTTGTTTGAACCTGAAGTGCACTGATTGGAGTCAACCTTACCCTCAGTCATGAAACTGTTAGCATCATAGCTTCTGTCAGGCCTCTTTTTCAAGGTATTTTATTTTCCCCTTTTCATTCTGAGCTCTTTCTCATTTTCCCTCCTCACTAGAGGCACTTGCTTTAGTGTATTTAACAAATGCTTTTCCAGTCCATGCTCTATATGTGTATTTAGATACATACATCCACTGGAATTTTGATACATTAGGATAATTGGCATATGAGGGAAGCCTGGGTGCTATGACTAAGGGCATACATAGAAGGGTCAGGGGAGGCTTCGTTGGGAAGTGACATCTGAGCTAGGAACTAAAAGAGAAGTAGGGGTTAGCTAAAGAGAGGGACAAGAGGGGATTAGAAGGCAAGAAAACAGGGTGAGTGTGGAATTTCACAGCTGGACCATGAACAGGGGATGAGGATAGACGAATCAGCACAGGTGAGATGTAGAAGGAATGAAGGACAATGGGGAACCACTGAAGGGTTTGAAGACTGGTGGTGAATGGGGCACACATCAATCACATTTATAGTTTAGAAAGTCCATGAGTTAAGAATTGACCCTCCTTATCTATCTCCCACGTTGTTGGTAAATCATAACATTGGAACTGGTGGGTGGCAAATAAGTATAGATGGATTTGTAGACAGAAGATCAGAACCACAACCCAAGGATTCCTTTTGATAACCTATAGAGAAGATTTTTCAATTTTGACTTGTTCTTTTTTTTTTTATAACTTCTGACAACACTTCCTAAAATTCTCTCAAAACCAAAGCCAGAGTAGAGAGGAGAGTGAAGGCTGCATGACTTTGTTTTCTCTGTTCCCCACATTTCTGGAACATTACTGTGAATTGTTCATTTAAAGCCTTGCTCCTCTTGAAGAGGGGTCCATTTGAATAGTAGCAGTAGAGGAGGGGAAAGGGGGAACCACATGAAAGTTTCTTTCATTAAGAAAACATTCAGACAATGATTTGAGCAAGTTAAAATAACTCCTTGTGAAAAATTAATAGGCAGTTACAAGTGAGTATTTTTATACAAGCTCACAGAACAGGGCAGATTTTCCAAGCGGCTGTCAGCTGACATCACAGATGGTAGAGTGTTTATGGAGCACACTGTGGCCCGCAAGGAGACTGTCTGCAGAAGTGAGCTCACCTTCTCTTCTGGAACCTATAAGGAGAGAGGATACAGAAGGAATTGTTTTGGTTGTGAGCTACTGAGCTAAGTAACTTACTTCTCTCCTCCCAATTCATCACACTCTCAAAACTGAGGATGTAAAACTGTAGTTAATTTTTGTCTGGTAGCTTTGGGTGAGGTTTATTCAATACCAGAATTCATATGATGGCCTTTCTGGCTCTTCTCCATTCTTAGTAATGGATTATTGGGTGGATGTTGCATTCATTTCTTCAGCTTTTCCTTCCACTACAGCTTGTTCTTAGAGTTCTTGCAGATTGTTATGACAGCCCTGACAATTCCTTCCTCTCCCTCTCTTTTTACATCACACCTGTGGGCCTAGGTAGCTAAAAGTTAAGGGTTGGACTGTACATTCTGTGATATCAGGACAGCTAAATGGATGATGCAGAATGAGGAGAAAGTGAGCCACAGTGACATCTGACCTTGGCTAACTGATTTTGGAGGTAAGGGTTTTGAGACTAGGGGAAGAACATTTGTATTTTAAACTCAGATAATAATTTGAAATAGTTCTATAATTGCAATGAGACCTTCTAGTCTGTGAATTAATGTGTCATAACTCATGCTCAAGTACCATGCAAATATCCATGTGTGAATTATTGCATAATATATCCATGCCCTGTTGGGTCTTACAGTTTAATTAGTACATGAAGCTACATGAGTTAGATGAACCCAAATAGGATTATGTCATGTGGTGTGTAGAAAAGAAGAATGTTAGGAAGTATTTTGCACTTTTTTGGGAGGAAAGCAGGGTTCATTTTTCTATGACATCTTTTGGTGTCAGTTTCTGTGATACTTGGGCTGCAACAAGTGACATAGGACTTCTGAGTTTTCACTGGTTGGTTGAACACCATTGTTCAGTAAATATTTATCGTTTCTTTAGGCATTATGGAGGAATAACACATACCAGATGAAATTCGAAGTGATAGCTTTAAAGCCTGAGCAACGGAACTTGGCAACATCAACCCAACTTGGCTTAACTCAGCCTCACCGAACTGAATCTCAGACTCTCTCCTTCCTGTGCTTGCTACAGCTCTCTGATCCTGGAATCCTCTTCAATTCTAGCTCGATGCTGCATCAAGCACTTCGCAGATTTGGTCAAAAGCTGGTACACAGACTTAAGTTGGAGGAACCTTTGCCTGAGGATCACCCAAGCAGAATCCTGAGCACTCTGGATTTAGTGGCCCTGGGTGTAGGCCGGACAGTGGGTATAGGTATATATGTCCTGGCTGGTGAGGTGGTCAGCAATCAAGCAGGACCATCCATTGTGATCTGCTTTTTGTTGGCTGGCCTATCTTCTGTGTTGACTGCGCTGTGCTATGCTGAGATTACTGCCCAGATTCCACAATCTGGCTCTTCATATCTCTACACTTATGTCACTGTAGGTGAACTCTGGGCTTTCATCACTGGCTGGAACCTCATCTTCTCCCTTGTTGCTGATACAGCCAATGTGACCCGGGCCTGGACTTTAGCTTTTGCCAATCTTCTTGGGAACCAGATCTCTCAGACCCTCCATGAGAGCATCTTACTGCATGTTCCCCAAGTCCTTGCAGACTATCTAGTCTTCTTTGTTGTGGGCTTTGTGTTGTTATTCATGGAATTGCAGGCTCTGAACCATGGTCAGTTTTTCCTGGTTACCAAAGTGGTCACATTGGTGAAACTTTTGGTTCTGGGTTTTGTCATCATCTCTGGCTTTATTAAGGGGAACCTGCACAACTGGACACTCACAGAAGAGGACTACATAAAGGCTGGACTCAATGACACCTCTAGCCTGAGCCCCCTGGGCTCTGGAGGATTTGTGCCCTTCGGCTTCAAAGGGGTTCTCCGTGGAGCAGCTACCTGTCTCTATACATTTATTGGTTTCCACAATATTTTTGAAAGAGCTGAAGAAGCCCAGAATTCCCAACGTTCAATCCACAGGGGCATTGTGATATCACTGCTCATTTGCCTTCTGGTATATGTTGGTGTCTCTTCATCACTTACGCTTATGGTGCCTTACTACAAGCTTCAACCTGGGAGCACCTTGCCTGAGGCATTTCTCCATATTGGCTGGCCTCCTGCCTACTATGTTGTAGCTTTTGGATTCCTCTGTAGTCTTTCATCTAACTTCTTGGGCTTTATTTTACCCATACATCATTTTATATACATGATGGCAACGCATCACCTCTTGTTCCCTGTTCTTGTCAGGATAAAAACTGGCAAATATGCTCCTCTTGTGGCCACTGTGATCTTTGGCATTATTGCACCAGTCATGGCAGTCTCCTTTGGATTCATTGATCTTGTGAACTTCAGGTCACTTGGGTCGCTGCTAGCTTACTCCCTGGTGGCTCTTTGTGTTCTCATCCTCAGGTATCAGACCAACATTAGAAATAAGGAAAATGAAGGGGAGGTGCAGGAGGAGAATGGACCTGCAGCAGAGAAGCTGACTCTACAGGGACTATTTTTTCCAGGCAGCCCCACCCCCACTGCACTCTCTGGCCGGGTTGTCTATGTTTGCTCCTCACTGCTTGCTCTACTGCTCACTCTTCTGTGCTTGGTGCTGACCCAGTGGCCAGTTCCACTTTCTGGAGACCCAGTGTGGATTTCAGTAGTTGTGCTGCTCCTGGTGCTTATTGCTGGGCTCACTGGAGTCATCTGGAGACAGCCACAGAGCTCCAGTCCCCTTCAGTTTAAGGTCCCTGCTATGCCTCTCCTCCCACTACTGAGCATCTTTGTGAATGTTTACCTTATGATGCAGATGGCAGCTGGCACCTGGGCCCAATATGGTGTCTGGATGCTGATTGGGCTTGCTATCTATTTCAGCTATGGGATCAAGCGCAGCATGGAGGAGGTTAGAATGACCAACTCCACTTAAGTTAGGGCCAAAGCTGTAGACGTCGAATTCATTGGTGCCTATACACATTTAGTTTTACATCATCATACCTGAATGCAGTCTGGTTCCCCTGCACAATAATCTTGAGTACTCTTTAGCACATGGAAACAAGGTCTCCTGTGGGATATTTGTGGGGGGAATACTTTATTGTGGAGTGAAGAATGTGTCTTTGCTCTTTCTCTTCCCCCCACCCCCTTATCTACTTTTCAATTGTGTCTGTAGCTGCATACTAGCTTTAAAAAATATAAAAAGAAATTGGAAACAGTGTTTTGTTTCCTTTGGGTAAATACCCAGTCAGGAAATTACTGGGTGATGTAATAATTATGTTTTTTTTTAAATTTTTAGAAACCTGCACACTGTTTTCCAAAGTGGCTGCACCAACTTACATTCCTACCAATAGTACATGAGGGCTCCTTTTTCTCCATATCCTTGCCAACACATGTTATTTCTTGTCTTTTTATTTTAGCCATTCTGACATGTGTAAGGTAATATATCATTGTAGTTTTCATGCATTTCCCTTATGACTAGTGATGCTGAGCATCTTTTCTTGTGTGTGTTGGTGTCTGTCCATGTTTTAAATGAATGTATTTTGGTGTTGAGTTGTATCAGTTCATTACATATTTTACATATTAACCCCTTATTGAATATATCATTTGCAAATATCTTCTCCCATTCAGTAGGTCACCTCTTTGCTTTGCAGATGGTTTCCTTTGCTGTTCAAAAGCTTTTTATTTACACTAAGTCAAAAAGATATATGCATTCTTATGTTTATAGCAGCACTATATACAATAGCCAGGATATGGAAGCAATCCAAATGTCCATCAGTAGATGAAAGGATAAAGGAGATGAGGTATGTGTATACACACACACACACACACACACACACACGTATGCACACATCTTCTAGGTCCATATATACATACACACACACATATGTATCTTCTAGGTCCCATATATATATATATATATATATTCTAGGTCCATCTATGTTGTTATAAATTACAAGGTTTCATTTTTTTCAATGGAAATGAAACATTGCAATTTATAACAACATGGATGGACTTAAAAAATGTAATGCTAAGTGAAATAAGTCAGTCAAAGACAAATACCATATGATTTCACTCATATGTAGAATTTAAGTAATAAAACAAACAAACAAAGAGACAAACAGAACAAACAAAACCAGACTCTTTCTTAAATATAAGGAACAAACTGGTAGTTACCAAAAGGGAAGTGGGTAGGAGGATAGGTAGAATAGATGCAGGGAATTCAGGGTACACTTATCTTGATGAGCACGGAGAAAAGTATGGAATTGTTAAATCATTATACTATATACCTGAGAGTAATACAATGACACTATGTGTTAATTATACTTCAATTAAAAAATAAAGAAAACTAGAAAAAGACAAAAAAAGATGAAACATGGCCTCTGCCCTTAAGATGCTTATATTCTAATACAAGAGGTAAAGCATAGCTGTAACACAATGCAGAAAGTGTTGCCATAAGAAGTAAATACAAGTGAAGTGTCTTAGAAATTCAGAGTGGAGGATGAGCATTTGTGGCTGCCACAGGGGTGACAGTTGATTGGTAATTTTAGAGAAGACTGCGGAGGAATGACATTTGGGTTAGCTCTCTCCAAGGACAGATAGGATTTTGCCACACATAAGCAGCAGGGAGAGACTGTAGGCAGAGAAAACAACAGTAGGAAAACAAAGCAGTGTTCAGAGCACACTGAGCTGGTTGTGTAGTTTGAGCCTTGGCTGGGGGGGGGGGAGGGCAACAAAACATACACAGGTAGATTGAAGTCAGAGCTTTCCTCTGATAACAAAGCACTTTGGGTTTGAACCTACTTCCCATGCTACAAATCCTTGGTGTTGCTCCTTCTACTTGGCCATGTATGTATTTGTGTACTTTAAAGTTTCTCTACTATTGCCTGCTTTGGTCCACTAGTTCAGAAAGTGCACAGCTGAGAGCCAAGTGTCCTTGGTTCTAGTCTTGTTTCCACCACTAACTAGCAATTTGATCTTGAGCAAGCCCCTCAGTTCCCTCAGTTCTCTGTTTATTTATCTGCAATCAAGAGTTCACAACTGATAATTTCTAAAGTTCCCTTTAGTTAAAAAATTCTAGGATATCATCTTGTTCTTCTGTCCTGTTTTTCTCTCAATTTGGTCTCTACTACAAGTGATCTGAACCTGCATCCTGCCCACTTTTTGCTACAACCCATTGTTGGAGTTGTAGAGGTACAATAAATAACACATTTCCCCCTCTTATGATAATCAAGACATAGAGACAAGTGATTAAACCATCAGCTGCAGCCTAATTGGCTTGCTAATCCCACATCACTAAATTAGACAGTCTTACTCTTCATCATAAATACTGCTGAGCACACCCCGCCTCCCACATGACAGAGCCTGCTTTTATTACATTTTCTCATGTATGAGCATATTGTAATGCATGTATCCTGTGAGTAGGTTGGATCTATATAAAAGAAGGAAACCACCAAAAAAGAAAAAATCCTGGAAGAAACTTAGCTAAGCATGCTCAGTACTGTCTCTTTAGCTGACTAATGATAGACGCAGAGAGAGAAGGGAGTAAAGGGAGGCCAGAAATAGTACTCTGTTCAGGGAGGCTCAAACTCAATGGATGTCATCTTACCTGGAGGGCTTCTGAAAATACACATTGTTGGGCTCAGACCCCAGTGTTTGGAATTCAGTATGTCTGGGTGGGACCCAGAATTTGTACTTCTAACAAGTTCTCAGGAGATACTGCTGCTGCTGCTCAAGGGACCTCACACTGAAAACCAAGTCTCCAGTTTAAACTCCTCCACATACATGTAAGATGAAGCAAAGGAAACATGGCCCCCATTGAACAATCACTTCTTTTCATGAAACATTGAGATTAAAATACCATCATGAACGCTTTCACAGTGGGGAAATCATAAAGAATCATTTCACAATGCTTCACAATCCCTACAGATTCTTCCCAATGCCTAGCCTTAGTTAAAGTAATATCATTTTCTGGGCTCCCATTTATTCACTTTTACAAATGTGCACAGTGGTGCATTGGTGGCTCAGCCAGTTGAAAGTCTGACACCAGCTCAGGTCATAATTTCATGGTTCCTGGGGTTGAGCCCCACGTCGAGATCTGTGCTGACAGCTCAGAGCCTGGACCTTGCTTCAGATTCTGTGTCTCCCTCTCTCTCTGTCCCTTCCCCACTCACGCTTTCTCTTTAAAAAGGGGAAAAATATACATGTCATAATACTAATGCCTGCTTTTCCCATCCCCATATGAGATGTTTATAAAGACTGGTTTAAATAATGGCTGTAAATTTCTCTAAATAAACTGTGTGAATGTTACAGTAGTTCCCTTTTAACTTCCCAGTAGAAATACAGAGCCTTTTCCTCCTACAAATAGTACATCTCAAAAGATTATTTTATTTTATTTGTATTTATTTAAATTCAAGCTACTTTATATACAGTGTAGTATTAGTTTGAGGAGTAGAACTCAGTGATTCGTCACTTAACATACAACACCCAGTGCTCATCCCAAGTGCCCTTTTCAATGCCCACACCCATTTAGCTCATACCTACATGTACCTCCCCTCTAGCAACCACCAGTTTGTTCTCTGTATTTAAGCTTTGCTTCCCTCTCTGTTTTTATCTTATTTTTCTTTTCTTTCCCCTATGTTCATCTGTTGTGTTTCTTAAACTCCACATATAAGTGAAATCATATGATATTTATCTTTCTCTGCCCGACTTATTTCAATTAACATAATACACTCTAGTTCCATCCACATTGTTGCAAATGGCAAGATTTCATTATTTATGATTGATGAGAAGTATTCCATTATATGTGTGTGTGAGTGTAAACCACATTTTCTTTATCCATTCATCGTTGATGGATATTTGGGCTCTTTCATAATTTGGCTATTGTTGATGGTGCTATAAACACTGGGGTGCATGTGCCCCTTCAATTCAGCATTTTTATGTCCTTTGGTGAAATACCTAGTAGTGCAATTGCTGGGCCATATTGTTATTTTAAATTTTTTAGTTAACTGCATACTGTTTTCCAGAGTGTCTGCATCAGTTTGCAGTTCAAAAGGATTCCCCCTTCACTGTGTCCTCAGCAACATCTGTTATTTCCTGAGTTTTTTATTTTAGCTATTCTGAGAGGTGTGCAGTGGTATCTCACTGTGGTTTTGATTTGTATTTCCCTGACAGTGAGAAATGTTGAGCATCTTTTCATGTGTCTGTTAGCCATCTGAATGTCTTCTTCAGAAAAGTGTCTATTCATGTCTACTGCCCATTTCTTCAGTGGATTATTTGTTTTCTGGGTGTTGACTTTGATAAGCTCTTTATAGATTTTGGGTACCAACAGATAAATATACTGATATTAATTTGATATGTCACTTGCAAATATCTTCTCCCATTCTATCAACTGCCTTTTAGTTTTGTTGATTGTTTCCTTTGCTGTGTAGAAGCTTTTTATCTTGATGAGGTCCCAATTTTCATTTTTGCTTTTGTTTCCCTTGCCTCCTTAGACATGTCTACTAAGAAGTTGCTGCAACCAAGGTCAAAGAGGTTGTTGCCTGTTTTTTTCCTCTAGAATTTTGATGGTTTCCTGTTTCACATTTAGGTCTTTTATCTATTTTCAATTTATTTTTGTGTGTGATGTAAGAAAGTGATCAAATTTCATTCTTCTACATGCCACTGTCCAGTTCTACCAGCAGCATTTGCTGAAGAGATTGACTTTTTTTTCCCATTGGATAGTCTTTCCTGCCATACAGAAAAGATTAGTTGGCCATATACATGTGGATCCATTTCTGGGTTCTCTATTCTGTTCCATTGGCCTATGTGTCTGTTTTTGTGCCAGTATCATACTGTCTTGATATTACAGCTTTGTAATAGAGCCTAAAGCCTGGAATTGTGGTGCCTCCAGCTTTGCTTTTCTTTTTGAACATTACTTTGGCTATATCTTTTCTG